TATGAATTCCTGTTAAAATTTGATTTGACGTCCTGCGAGAATCCTTGACTCTTGGCTTCTCTTGGATGGGAATTTAATTCATATGCATTCCTTCTAACATTTGAGTAGAAGCAACTCCAGAATCCTTGATTTGGGTTTTCCATAGCTGTCCACAGGGTTCTGGCTGGCTGCACAGATGCGGACTGTCTTGGAACCTGTATGCACGTTCTGCTTCTGAAATAACCATGTTCTAGGGTTTCCAGGCCAAAAAGGGTAGGTACATGGAGAGGGGGGTAGCATATATATATATATGTATGCATATCCATCCCTTTACAGCACTGTAGTGAATAAGAAATTGAAGAAACATCTTAGAAAATTTGGAGCTGTCGAACCGCACCCCATTAAATTTTTCTTGAATGACACAAGTGTACCATAGATATATTATAAAATCGAAAACAAAAACTCTTCAAAACATCAGGTGCTATCGAACCGCGTCCTGTATGTCTTCGTGCTAGGATGACACGGCGGTTCGACAACACCAAATTCTCCACAAGGAGATGATTCAGAACATATTGTTTGGTCGAACTGCCCCTCTGCGTTTTCATGTTTGGATTGCACAGCGTACAATATTTATACCAAAATATGTTCGCCTCATTTTCTATGTATAAATCTCGCCATAGTACAGATCTTATAAAATTAGAGAGGAATTCTTAAGTCTTAGTCCTCCTCTTTTCTCTACATAATTACTACAGTATATTTAGTCACATATCTATTTATGAGGAGAACAGGAGCACGGGAGTGTAATAAAGATGTAAACCCCAAAGCAACCATCAACTCACTGATTAGGCTATCGGTAGAATCAAACATCTGTTCTTACAAATGAAATAGAAGTCTCTTCCACAATAAAGATACGAGAGAGATACAATTCACGCGAGAAACGTGGAAGCTCCAATTCTTTTTCAAGTATTTCGTCAAATACCATAAAAAGTCAATGGAACCAACTGGAGCTTGACCTCTCCCTTCATATGCGGAAGGTTTTGTGCTTTAGTGGGTTTAGTAATGCATTCTACTAGTTTATCGTTGACTCAATAAGCTATGCAAGAGAAATGCACGAAATGCAGCGGGGAGGACCGATGGTTTCCCTTTTATAGAAGTCCGTTAATTATCAGTAGTTTTTTCCCATATGAGAATCCATTGCACCATTGAAGTAATGGTTTTGCACGTATGGTAATCCATTGACCAGTGAACCATTCAATGCATTTCCGATAGGGAGACCATTGGTTTCAGGGTTTGACGGTTTGTTGTTTCAATGGTTCAAGGGTTCCATGGTTCAATGTATTGTTTTTTTTTGGGGGGGAAAACCATTGTTTCAGGCTTAATGGTTAACTTGTTAGATAGTTCATGCATTATGATATCATGAGATGGCGTTCATATAAATATATATATATATATGTACATGTTATTTTTTGATTGCATATTTAAAGTAGTGTCCATGCACGTCTGCCATAGTATGTGCAGTAGGTCCTTGTTTGCGACACAAGATTGCAACACTCACATGTTTTAACATGTGATGTCGCAGATTACTTGGTGGAAGAAAACGCTATGGTTTCTGTAGAATGCAGCCAAATAAGTTATGGTAATCTAAAAACTTGATTAATTGAATATACTAGTGCCGCTCGCACATGCGCACACCATGTTACAAATCGATAAACTAAACAATACTAAATTGCGTATTTATTGTGCTAGTAGATATGTATGTGATTATGTTATCATCAACGACTGTTTGTGAATGCAACAACCAAATGTTCCACACAACATTTAAAATAGCACAAATCATGATGGCTCCAGTCCATTGGCATAAAACATATTGAAATCAGTTCTGAAAGGCATGTGAATTATTTCCTTCTGTATTATTGTGAGAATAAAGGGTTGTATGTATGTTGATTAAAGTAATAAAATACGTCGAGTCAGGCTCCTCCAGTATGATACTATGATAAGTATAAACTTCATTTAGAGGTTATGGTATCCATATTCTCTATGCCCTCGGTGTGAAACCTGCAAATGTAACTGGGGCTCCGGGAATTGGATTCACAGGATGCATCAATATCCTAGTGACGGTCTCTTGAATTCATTTGATTTGTTTCTATTCTAGAAGAGGCCTATCCCAGAAAATGGACACAATTGCAAGGATTTTGGAGAGCTACAGGATCACACTTTCATAGCAACATGCAGCATGACCTTTCCCCCCAAAAAATCTGGGCTGAGTATGGACGAACTCAGTTGACAAGTGCGGCATTGCCCCCGAGGCGTGTCATATGTATTGGACTTGGTTATGCAAGGCGTCTTCAACATCGCATCAAATATAGGGATATCCTTGCCTTAACGGTACATTCCGCGAGAGAACGCCTACGAAGGGTATGGATGCACCCCATAGAAAATTGTGAACTTTTTGGATTTGGCTATGCAAGCGGGCTTCCAAAACAAGTGCAACTATATAAAGATCTTTGTCACACAGGCTATCTGCCACAGGAGAACTCTTACACAACCTCTTGCGTGAGTGCTTTCCAAAGCCTGAACTTCTGAAAACTTCCATGAAATATTCTCACAGACTATCCCGATCTTGGTGTGTTTATTTACATATATCCATGTAAATCTTGCCTCCACGAATATGGATATGACAACCTATATGAGTTGAACTGGCCGTATTGGCGGGGGCTCATTCGATATACTTAACATGCAGCATTTATCGAAGCTCTATTGTGTCACAATAGTTGTGCTAGGTGGAAGTTTTGCTAACCCAGCTAGGATATGTACATGTGTAGCAAGGGCGAGCTGCAGCAGAAAATTTTGTTGGCAGAACCCGCACAATTTGAGAAAAACGTTATAAAGGCTAAAAACATTGAAAGTACACACTGCCACGGCGTAGCACACTGTAACATTAGTATTCGTATTCTTAGTGCTATTGTTATTTTCATTGTTGGTGTTTTTGATAGTCGTTATTATTGCTGCGAATAGAGATGTGATAGTGTTGTCATTATTCTTATTGTTATTACTACTATTATCACAGTCATAGTCTCTCATCAGTTTTCATAATTTTGCGCAAATTTTCGACAATTTTATCATGACAAGTCAGCTTTTTAAACTATGTCTCGACATTTTTCAACATCTATCACCAGCTCTTTTTTTATGATTTTCATCATTCAATCATTTTGCTCCTTGTTATTTGGGCCTTTGAACCCTCAATTTTCTACTTTGAACGCCAGTATGTGTTTTTTGGTATCATTGTTTGATATGTTTTGTTTTTTTTGTCTTCTATCCATCATTAATGGTCACATATGATGACGGAAAATTTGTCAGGCAGATCAAGAGGCAAACCCCTACATGCCCCCCCGATCTAACCTTGCCGCTCAGAAAGTCTTGGGTTGCCATCGCTTCCGGACCCAGCTGCGAAGGCGGCGGTGACCCTACGAGCCTTGAAGGTCAGTTGGAGCGTTTTCAAGCACATGTTTTTCGATGCAGGTGCGCTGTCGGGTTGATTCTTGCCATATCACTTCAACATCTACAGGTCAGCCATGAAACTTGAAGCCTCTTGAACCGGTGTGGTTGATTCTGTAGCACGGCGGCGTCTCAATCAGGCCGAGACATTTTCGGCGCCAGGACAAGGCCCAATTGTATGGTTGTATGTCAATCAACCAGGCAAGGCAGGCAGGGATCATACTTGACAAGGTGCTCCAGTCAATGCCTTGTTGGTCGCCGGCTTACTTGCAGCAATTCCGGGTGCCCATGTCAGCCTGTGGGTTCCGTGCCGGTGGCGCAATATGCGCAAATGAAAGGACAGGAAACGGGACCTCAACCACGTTTTCAAGCCAAGGCCGGAACAAGAAGCTGTACAAAGCTTTTGCATGTTGCGTTCAAATGGAGGCAAATCTACACCCGCACCTCAAGGGGTGCCAGTGAAAGCATTGCTGAGGTACAGGAGGTGCCTGCAGATAGCGACTAAGAACCTGCTGCATTGCCATGCCTTCGCGGTGCTGGCAAGGTCAAACTGAGCTCAGTTACGCAATCAACAGTGGCAACCTGAGAGTTGAATCTCAGGTCAACTCTGCCTTTGTAGCAATGGAATAGCTGGCTACTTATAGGGCTTTTCCGGAGCAAAGTGCTTTGGAAGCTGTTGTTCACATTGCAATGTGCATCTCTTAATCATGCTGTCATGTAGCGAATGTCATGCTGTAAAGCTCGCCTTGGCAATCCAGGCATCCCACCAAGAAACCGCATTTCTCCTGATTCTTGTCATGGATCTTTTTCTGTAATGTTTGATCCTGATTAGTGTGGGGGTCCTTAATTGTGCGAAGCTTTGCCGAAATTGTTCAGCACCCCCATGTTCGTTTGGGTTCCCATAGTTGTGCTAAGTTGCGCGGCCAAAAGAAATAATTGAGCGGCGGCCAAAACCCCCCATGTGGGATTTTATGTAAACATGAAAGTAATGATTGGTCGCATCAGCTTTTATGGCGTGCGCGATAGTTCGCGTCAGTAAAACATGAACATTCCCACGGCGATAGTCTTTGCGACAACTGATTGCCTAGCTTCGCATCTTCAACAACAAGCTTCCCACTGTGGCCGCGCCAGTGAAGTGAGGTTTAATAGCCTGAAATCAAGCCCGATAGTTCGCGTCAGTACAGTTCG